ACAACCTCCCTTGGCAATTTATTCAATGATTTAACCACCCTGACAGTTAAGAACTTTTTCATAAAGTCCAACCTAGACCTCCCTTGCTGCAGTTTAAACCCATTGCTTCTGGTTCTATCCTTAGAGGCTAAGGTGAACAAGTTTTCTCCCTCCTCCTTATGACACCCTTTTAAATACCTGAAAACTGCTATCATGTCCCCTCTCAGTCTTCTCTTTTCCAAACTAAACAAATCCAATTCTTTCAGCATTCCTTTATAGGTCATGTTCTCAAGACCTTTAATCATTCTTGTTGCTCTTCTCTGGACCCTTTCCAATTTCTCCACATCTTTTTTAAAATGCGGTGCCCAGAACTGGACACAATACTCCATAATCCATATTGCGATGACATTTTGAAATACATAGCAAACTCGTACAGACAATGCTTTAGCACCTTCCATTGGGATTTCTTGGAAGAATTTCTATTTTATAAGAGGCTGTGTTGTATCCCAGGTTTAGAGAGTAAATGCATGAAGTTAAATTGCCATGAAGCTGAAGCAATGCTGTGGTGGATCAGGCTCAATAAGTTTGTGATCCATCCAACTTACAAGTGTCCATTTTCCTCATTTCAGTGCTTTCTGAATTTTAGCAACATCTGGAGAAAACTCCAGAATGAGCTGAAAATAGGAGAGAATGGAATGGAAACTAGAAATATGTATTGAAGAAAGGCATTTAGGTGGAAACATATACACCTCTACCCCGATATAACGCTGTCCTCGGGAGCCAAAAAATCTTACCGCATTATAGGTGAAACAGTGTTATATTGAACTTGCTTTGATCCGCCGGAGCGCGCAGCCCTGCCCCCCTGGAGCGCTGCTTTACTGTGTTATATCCGAATTTGTGTTATATCGGGTCATGTTATATCAGGGTAGAGGTGTATATACTATAGAAAGATGGGAGTCTTAGTTCTAATTAACAGGACTTTTTTTTGAAGGCAAATGTTGCCATTGATGTTGTATAGCCATTTTCTCACTTTGTCCCTAAAGTTACTGTAACACAGTCTCCACAGATTCAGCTATCAAAACAGAGCCTCTAACCAAAGAGCTTGTGCTTCCATGCAAAGCCTAACTGAGCAGAAGTACGTGCCTGGATTCTGTTGCTCAGCTGTGTTTATTTTCTGCCACCTGCAGTGCTTCTGATATTCTCAGAACTCCCAAGCCTAATTCTCCGTCCTGCCTTCCTAACTGAAGTGAACCCAAAAGGCTTTGCTCATCAGTTGTCATGGGAGCAGCTCTTAAAGCCTTCTGGATTGATTACAATGGCCCCTGGACAAGAAAACCAGTTCAAGCTATAAGAACGAACCTGATCCCTGAAAGAAACTGAACCCAAACAATTTTTTCGTGGTTTGGATAAATCTTCCCCCATCCAATATCAATCCTTTTCACTGCTACTCTCCGTAGGCTGAAAAATCAGTGAGTCTCAAGTCACTCCTGTCCAGCCCTAGTTTACTGTTCACTGCAAATGTGCTGGCACTTGAGTGTTTCACAAGTAAGCGTGTTTCTGGCAGGAACCCTCAAAATGGAGAATCTTGCACATTTTTGGGCTTCTTGTTAAGAGGAGAGTGTCCATATTTATACATTTTTTCATCCTTGTTGAAATAAAAAAAATGGCAGAAGGGGTTTTGCAAAATTGTTCCAAAAGATATCGTGGACAGAGAGAAATCCTCCTTTCCAATCTTTCTCTCAACAGAAGAGTCTGTGCTCCTTCATACTAGTGAACTTTTCTATTTTCTCTCTGTCGTGTCCTCTCCACAGCAATATCTGGAAGAAAAGACTGTAGTTTCAGAAGCAATTCTTCTCTCTGTGGAACATACAAAGTCCTATGAACAGATGGCTGGGAGGATAGAGTTACACGTTTCCATCTTGAAACATCCCTTACATATCATTCTTACTGAAATGGGAGATTCAGGATTGGGAAGAACTCCCAATTTGTTTAGAATTTGCTTATGTTGAAGGAGACAGGGAAATAATGATATAAATAGCTGTCAGAGGTAAGTCTGTGTAATATCTCCTTTGACTTTTCCTTCCCAGATAACCCTTTTGCACTTCTGCAAGAAGACAGCAGGACTGATGTCCAAGATCCATGAGGAGTTCATAGGTGTCCACCCATATCACTCTGTTGCACTTGAGGTGAAGTTTTCATGTTATTTCTGTAAGATACATGGTTCTTGAAATGAAAACTATTTTTTTGGAGAAGTAAATTTCAAATTCAAATAATAATTGTAATTTATTTGTCTAGAATTAAACTACTGACAAGTCTGGCACAAACCAGTCCATTCCCCATGCTCATTTTGCAAGTTTATCAAATGGATAAATAAGTTGTTCATTTATCTGATTTTTATTTAAAAAGCAAAAGAAAAGCAAAAAACCCTGTAGTCACACTTTATATTAAGGTTCCATTTATAAAAATGGAATATATAAGGAGCTAATAAATAAGTGATATTTTAATAAATGGTTAATTGTTAGAATATTATAGAGTCCAACAGATCTCTTATTACTATCCATGACCTATAACTCCGTCTAATGATGTGCTCATAATAATCTATAACACATACTACTCATGTCTGGAACATGCCTAAAATATCTATTAATCTTTATAAATGGAATCTTTATATAAAGTATGACCAAAATTTTAGTGCATCTGTGATATTACAGTGTAACTACAGTCACAGTATCAAAGTGTAACCAGAATTTCTTAATTACAAAAAATGGTTGTTACAACCAGTTAATTGAGAGAGAAGTTACTGCTACATAGATTACTGTGTTCAAATCATTAGACTGGAGAGGTGAATTTGTAGATATCATCAGTTTCCTCTCAAATTATATTTTCTCCACTTCTCAGCAACCACAGGAGCCTTCCCTAAACAATCCCACTGAAGAACATAAAGAGAAGATAGAGAAAGACACCATCAGTACAAACCTTGATAAGTAAGCAAGAAGAAAAATGATGAGAGATTGTAGAGGATTAAAAACATACGTTGAACCTGTTTGGTGTGGGCATTAGGAAGAGGGTCTCTGCTTCCTAGTATTCATAAATAATAATATATAAACTTACTTTCTTCTCCAACATGCATTTTAAAACCCTTTTCATTCTTTTTCCACTTTGGCATTTTCTTGATTTTTTTATTTCTGGTTTTTTTCCCCTCCACCAAAAACATCTCATAAGGTTAAAATAATTGTTTGTAGTCAGTGTTCTTAGCCAGATTAGACCTTCTTTGATGATAACTTGTTTATTAATTTATATATGTTAAACAAAAAATGTTACACAACTTTGCCAAAGTTTGCAAAGTTACACAATTGTTTATAAGAAATGTGTCAATCTGTAACGTTTTAGAACCTATTGCAATCTTAATAAAAACAAAACAGATATAGTAAATAGATATTAGTTCATATGCATTACTCTCTATATATCTGTCAATACCATTTTCTCACTTCATTGTCTTGATCAATTTCCATTACCTTAAGTTCACCAAGCACAGAGAAGTTAATTTAAAAAGTAAAAATACAAAATGAACACAGGCCAGGATGGTCTGAAAATGACTGCCTAATGTTAGACTTCTAAATCAATAGTTAGGCATTTAATAAATGGTGTAATTTATAGAAGTGCTGATCACTTATTGGGAATTAAGGGAGTTCAGCCTTTTCAAGATCTGGCTTTAGCCCTGTAAATTTTGAAACAAGGGGCCAGATTTTCCTCTCACTCATACCAGTGTAAAGCCAGAACTACCTCACTGAAATTCTTAGAGTTACCTAAATGTAAAACCAACATTAGCGAAAGGAAAAGTAGGCCTTAATTCTCTCTTTGGCATTGAGCCACTAACATTTCAACACATCTTGCATCTTAGTGCTCAATCTGACCAATTCTTTTTGGTTTTTGAATCAGGTTAATTTTGTTGGATGAGGAAACTTCTATCCATTTGGAAAGTGAAGCAGGTAAGATGTTAAATACATGTATATTTTGGATTTCAGGTAATTTGATTGGGTGACAAGTAATGAAGTCACTCCAAATTCATGCCTATAAAACCATTAGCTTGCCACACACCAATGTGTATTTTATAGTCCTGATCTTACATGCTATATCTTTAAACACAAACACACAAACTATATGCCTGTAAAACCTTAATTCTGCGTCCTTGTGCATATACATGATGATACAATTGTTTCCACAGGACTGAAGTCTCATTCGGTTCATACGATGGACTGTGCTCTAGGCATGAGTTCCCTAGGTTTATAAAAAAGCAATGCAAAAAACAGATATTCCATCATATGTAGTGCAATCATAGCGACATCCAGAGGGGTCATCTGCAGGATTAAAACCTTTTGATCCACAGCACAGACCTCTGCCGCTTGAGCTAACCAATAGCAGTAATAGATTGTCATCCTCTATGTGAACCAGTCACTAGAGGGGGAATGAGAGACAAACTTTGAGAGGGCAGTTCACAGGTATTTGCTAACAGCAGAGGAATATTGAGATTTGGGAATCTTTGGTTCTATTCCTCAACCATTCTGGGTTTGAAGGGGAGTATGTCTACTGGTCACAGATCCTTCTGCCTATTCCGTTCCAAGCCTGACTCCTGCCACATCACCTCCAGCCTGAGCTTTTCTCACTCTGTCTCTTCCCTGGCTCCTCATTCCAGTTCCAGTCTCTTTGCCAGCCAACCCCAGGTTTCCCCAGACTCTCAATCCCAGTCTCCCCCAACTCCTTGTTCAATCTTAGGCTCCAAGTCCCCCCGCCCTCCTTCCCCCTCAATGTCTCCCAGTCTCCTTGCCCACCCTTCCTAGTCTCTCTCCCCCCCTCCACCCACACTGGCTCCCAGTCTCCTTAACTACCCAATCCTAGCTTTCCAATCGGTTCCCTGTCCCAGTCTCCCCATTTAGGTTTCTAAGTCCAGCTCTTGTCCCCTCTGTAGCTGACTCAGCAGCTTCCTCCTCCACGTTGTCTGGTTAGGATTGAGAACACAGGTAAGGCAATCATCCTGCTCTCAGTTCCTGTGCCCAATGCTACAACAGCAATTTCAGGGAAAGTCCTGCTCAGTCCTTTTAGTGCTGGGCTAGAGAATGCTCAGTGCAGATGGACTCTTCTGAGCATTTAGCTGCCAACTTCTAACAAGTTTCTATTGAGCATATGCAAACAAATTTTTCAAAGGCTCATAGTTTGGCCAAATGTGTGTATTTTTTTTCATACAAACAGCAAAAGGCAGATCTTTGATCCCAGGGGGACCCCAGCCCATTTTCAAGCCCTTATTTGAAAGCATGTAGGCACTACAGCTTCTGAACAAAAGAGCTTTTTAAAAAAAAAAAAATTTTCATTTGGAACCAGAAGTATGCAATGAGGCAGAAGCAGAGACCAAAAAACAAAACAAAAACAAAAATAAGATAAAACAGTGCAGTACTGTGTTAAACGTAAACTACTAAAAAAAAATAATGGGAAAGTTAAAAAAAGATTTGACAAGATAAGGAAACTTTCTGTGCTTATTTCATATAAATTGAGATGGTTAAAAGTAGTATTTTTCTTCTATATAATAAAGTTTCAAAGTTATATTAAGTCAATGTTCATTTGTAAACTTTTGAAAAAACAACCATAATGTTTTGTTCAGAATTACGAACAACCTCCATTCCCGAGGTGTTCATAACTCTGAGGTGCTACTGTGGCAGCAAGTCTGATAATCTCTACACTCTGCACTTAATGAAACTGTTTTACAAGGCCCAGCCCTACTGTCTCTAAGGCATTGTCTACAATTTAGCTGTGTCTGTAGCTGCACCAGTGAGTTGACTCCTAAGTGTAGGCAAAGGCAAGCTAGCCTTAGGATGGATTGAGCTAATCATGGTTTTTATGGCTCCCGATTAGCACAGTGGGTACAAACTCGAGCTTGCCCTTGTATGCATATAAGGGTCAACACCCCTGTATCTACACAGTTTGTTGAATCAGGGCAATTCCCAAGTATAGAAAAAGACCTAATAAGTTCCTGCTTTTTCAGCCAAATAAAGACCTACTTGGTTCACTGACCTACTTCGTTCACTTAAAAAGTTTCTCAAGAGAGACAGACAATTAAGGCAACTAAGTAGTCACGGGGAGAAAAATAAAGTTCTGTCATGGATTAGAAACTAAGACATGGTAAATTCTCAACATGAAAGTAGGTTAATAGTGGGATAACTCCAAATATCCATATTGGGATGAATAGTGTTATTTATTTATAATCTGGAAAATGGAATAGACAGTGAAGGTCAACAATTGCAGATGACAATTATTTAGGTTAGTCAAAAGAAGGACGGACTCAGGAACTTTAGAGGGATCCAATAAAGTCAGTCAACTGGGCAACACTGTGGCAGAAAAATTGAGCATAGATAAGTGCAAGAGAATGCACAGTGGAAAATGGCCAGGCCAAATTTCAAAGTACTCCCACACACAAGTGACCCTTTTTGATACAGGGGGAAAAAAATCTAATTTTGGAAAAGAGGGCTTGAATATTTATTCTAAAGCCAACGCTCACTAAGTCTCTTCCTAAAATCCCTCAATTCCTTAGGCTACTTATTCAAACAAGGTTTATAATGCAAAATAAACACCCATGTTCTGCAACCATCCTTTGGGGAGTCCAAAGTACTGGTCTCCTACCAGCAACAACCTTCCTAGGAGACTACCTGCCTTTGATGTGCTTTTGAGAACTAGGTGTAGTTGTTTTTGCCTCCTTTCCTTGACTGCCCTTTCCTCTGGATCCTATATTTCTACCTCCCAGAGAAGTATTGCCTCCTTTCATTAGGGAAGCTGGGATGTGGTGTAATATGACCACAGAGCGCCCTCCACCCCCTTTTGGGTCCTGAAGAGTCTATAATACCCTCACAGAAAGGAACAATTTGTATTACTCTCGCACATTGCTGGATTATAAATTAATTGTAGTTGTTCAGGAAGAGATCTGTACTCACTTTGGACTGCTCAATGAAAATAGCTCATTGACCAGTTGTCAAAAATGCAGAAGGATATTAGGATGTATTAAAAAGGAGAGAAAATACATACAATAGCAGTATACTATTTTCAGTAAGTCAATAGCACACCGTCACCTTGAATACCCTGTTCAGTTCTGGGTATACGTGTGATGTTATTTTAAAGACTAGGTGTCACCGTGCCTCAGTGGATCACAGCTGAGGATGCCAGATTCAGGACAAACTGCTGAGAAATAGGGCAGACTTACCCCAAACTGGTGGTTGTTAGCAAAAGTAAACTTCTGGCTCACCACACTGCTTAACAAGAAGTCAAAAATGCAGTCACCTTAGGCATTTCACCACCCAGACACTAGACTTAATTATGAGTGGTTATTGACAACCAGTTTAATCAAACAAAAGGTTCTTCTGATCCCAAGAAATCAGCCACAAAATCAGGTTAGTATATAACTCAGACCTTACCCAATAATCATGCTGCTGTCTGTCCTTTAGTAACTAAAATCTAACGGTTTATTTATAAGAGAAAAGAAAGAGAATTACAATGGTTAAGGAAATCACATGCATGCAAGTGATTGCACAGTTCTTATACCAGGTTTGAAGCAATGATGGAATAAACTGCTAGTTTGCAGAAGTATCTCTGGAAATTATCCAAACAGCTTGGGGGTCATCAGTCCTTGTTTAGAGCTGCCTTGTTAGAAATCCTGTCCAAAGAAGTGAAGCAGGAAATGAAAACAAAATGGAGATGTTTCCAGGGTCTTTATACCCTTTCCCATGTCGATGAAATTTTACTGTCCCAAACAAAGCCCACAGCACAGTTTGTGGAAAAGTACAGGCACAAGATGGAGTCCAGGGTCACATGCCCTTACATGGCTTTGACTCACAGGAATAGCCATTGCTCACTTGGAGACTAAGGCATCCATAGGAAGGCCTGTATACACTAGCACTTATTTTGGCAAAATTTTTGTCGCTCAGGGGTGTGAACCACCCCCCCCCCCCGAGTGACATAAGTTTTGGCGGCATAACCGCTCATGTACACAGCACTATATCGGCGGGAGAGCGTGTCCCACCAACATAGCTACCCACTAACTTCAGTAAAACCACATGCAGATGTGAGGGTATATTGTTATCTTGTCTTCTGTGCAATATGAATTCATATTTTCGGCCAAATCCTGCTTTCAATAACAGAAGTATAAGTCAGAGTGAACTTATGGGTACACCTTTGTAACAGAGCAAAATATGACCCTTCATTTTATATTAAAAAGTTAGCAGGAATTTAGTAATCATAAAGGACCACAGTCTGTGCTATTATTTTCTCAAAAAAATACTCTTCCAACTTATTTTCTTTCCTCCTTCAGTTTCCAGCAATCTGCTGGTAGATTCTTTGGAAGGAGAAGATTTTGAGAAAGAGCTGTCATTCCTGGATAACATACTGAGTCCCTGTTCAAGTGCTGGAGAGATCGTCCAGGAAAGTCAAAACGTGCTTGGGAGTCCTCATACCAGTCTCCTTTCACAGAATCCTGCTACAGAGTCAGAACCTCTGCCTAGTTCATCTGGATTCCTACCTTCACAGGTCCTTGACCTTGGCCTTCATGCTGCTGGAAGCTTCAGTAGTAAGCATCTGAATTACTCAGACTACAGATCTTTTCTTATGTTTGTACAAAAGGCCAGATGCTGCTTCCATTTGACAATAATGGCAAAATTTCCATAGAAGGATTGGGTGCAAGGGTATTAGGGACTAAAAAGAACTGTCTTGCAGTAATGATAGTGCAGTAGAGGTTAGGCAAGTACTGCCGTGATGAAGCTCAGAATATTAACTAATCCAGCCAGGAATTCTGTAAATTATCACCCTTTCCAATAACAAAGTTTTGCTTCTTTCCAAAAATAGCGTGCTTACCTTCTGGCAATTTATAGACATAACCAAAAATCTATTAATTCAGATTTGGAAACATGTAGCTCCGCAATTTATTAAATTAGGTCTTGATCTTCCAACCTTATGTGAGTAGCCCTCATGATGTCAGTGGGACCGCTTGCATGAATAAGGATTATTTATGTGGGTAAGACTTGCACAAGTCCTGAATTTGTCATGTATACAATTGTGCTTTTGAATCCACAAAATATGAGCAAAATCTGCTAACTTGATGGCACATGTTGAGAAAATCTCCACTGTCCTTATTTTTGGTGATAACACATTCTATCTATAAAATACACACTGTTTAGTCATTTATATTTTCTGGCTTTTATTTTTAGCCCTTTATTATATAGTAAAAAAGTCAGATACAGACTTTGAACTGAACTGCTGAATCTGAGTTACCCTAGAATTTCCAATTTCTTCTAGAAAATTCAAAGAAAGTGTTGGGGCAAATTCTGTTTCCAGTTACACAAGCCTAAATCCAGATTGCCTTCAGTTTATCTTGGGCCTGGTCTACACTATGACTTTAATTCGGATTTAGCAGCGTTAAATCAAATTAACCCTGCACCCGTCCACACAACGAAGCCATTCATTTCGAAATAAAGGGCTCTTAAAATCGATTTCTGTACTCCACCCCGACGAGCGGAGTAGCGCCAAAATAGATATTGTCATTTCGAATTAGGGTTAGTGTGGCCGCAATTCGATGGTATTGGCCTCCGGGAGCTATCCCACAGTGCACCATTGTGACCGCTCTGGACAGCAGTCTGAACTCGGATGCACTGGCCAGGTAGACAGGAAAAGCCCCCCGAACATTTGAATTTTA